CAGGGATTTCTGTGAAAATAAGCGATATTTTAGGGGAAAAACAGGGATTTCTGTGAAAATAAGCGATATTTTAGGGGAAAAACAGGGATTTCTCTGAAAATAAGCAACATTTTAGGGGAAAAACAGGGATTTCTGTGAAAACAAGCGACATTTTAGGGGAAAAACAGGGATTTCTGTGAAAATAAGCGATATTTTAGGGGAAAAACAGGGATTTCTGTGAAAATAAGCGATATTTTAGGGGAAAAACAGGGATTTCAAGGAAAATAAGCGATATTTTAGGGGAAAAACAGGGATTTCTTTGAAAATAAGCGATATTTTAGGGGAAAAACAGGGATTTCTGTGAAAATAAGCGATATTTTAGGGGAAAAACAGGGATTTCTGTGAAAATAAGCGATATTGAAGGGGAAAAACAGGGATTTCTGTGCAAATAAGCGATATTTTAGGGGAAAAACAGGGATTTCTGTGAAAATAAGCGATATTTTAGGGGAAAAACAGGGATTTCTGTGAAAACAAGCGATATTTTAGGGGAAAAACAGGGATTTCTGTGAAAATAAGCGATATTTTAGGGGAAAAACAGGGATTTCTATGAAAATACGTGATATTTTAGGGGAAAAACAGGGATTTCTGTGAAAATAAGCGATATTTTAGGGGAAAAACAGGGATTTCTGTGAAAACAAGCGACATTTTAGGGGAAAAACAGGGATTTCTGTGAAAACAAGCGACATTTTAGGGGAAAAACAGGGATTTCTGTGAAAACAAGCGATATTTTAGGGGAAAAACAGGGATTTCTGTGAAAATAAGCGATATTTTAGGGGAAAAACAGGGATTTCTGTGAAAATAAGCGATATTTTAGGGGAAAAACAGGGATTTCTGTGAAAATAAGCGATATTTTAGGGGAAAAACGGGGATTTCTATGAAAATAAGCGATATTTTAGAGGAAAAACAGGGATTTCTGTGAAAATAAGCGACATTTTAGGGGAAAAACAGGGATTTCTGTGAAAACAAGCGATATTTTAGGGGAAAAACAGGGATTTCTGTGAAAATAAGCGATATTTTAGGGGAAAAACAGGGATTTCTATGAAAATACGTGATATTTTAGGGGAAAAACAGGGATTTCAGTGAAAATAAGCGACATTTTAGGGGAAAAACAGGGATTTCTGTGAAAACAAGCGATATTTTAGGGGAAAAACAGGGATTTCTGTGAAAACAAGCGATATTTTAGGGGAAAAACAGGGATTTCTGTGAAAACAAGCGATATTTTAGGGGAAAAACAGGGATTTCTGTGAAAATAAGCGATATTTTAGGGGAAAAACAGGGATTTCTATGAAAATAAGTGATATTTAAGGGGAAAAACAGGGATTTCTATGAAAATGAGCGATATTTCAGGGGAAAAACAGGGATTTCTGTGAAAATAAGCGATATTTTAGGGGAAAAACAGGGATTTCTATGAAAATAAGCGATATTTTAGGGGAAAAACAGGGATTACTCTGAAAATAAGCGACATTTTAGGGGAAAAACAGGGATTTCTGTGAAAATAAGCGATATTTTAGGGGAAAAACAGGGATTTCTGTGAAAATAAGCGATATTTTATGGGAAAAACAGGGATTTCTGTGAAAATAAGCGATATTTTAGGGGAAAAACAGGGATTTCTATGAAAATAAGCCACATTTTAGGGGAAAAACAGGGCTTTCTGTGAAAATAAGCGACATCTTAGGGGAAAAAAAGGGATTTCTATGAAAATAAGCGATATTTTTGGTTAAAAACAGGGATTACTGTGAAAATAAGCGATATTTTAGGGGAAAAACAGGGATTTCTATGAAAATAAGCGATATTTTAGGGGAAAAACAGGGATTTCTATGAAAATAAGCGATATTTTAGGGGAAAAACAGGGATTTCTTTGAAAATAAGTGATACTTTAGGGGAAAAACAGGGATTTCTATGAAAATAAGCGATATTTTAGGGGAAAAACAGGGATTTCTGTGAAAATAAGCGATATTTTAGGGGAAAAACAGGGATTTCTGTGAAAATAAGCGATATTTTAGGGGAAAAACAGGGATTTCTCTGAAAATAAGCAATATTTTAGGGGAAAAACAGGGATTTCTGTGAAAATAAGCGATATTTAAGGGGAAAAACAGGGTTTTCTGTGAAAATAAGCCACATTTTAGGGGAAAAACAGGGATTTCAGTGAAAATAAGCAATATTTTAGGGGAAAAACAGGGATTTCAGTGATAATAAGTGATATTTCAGGTTAAAAAAAGGGATTTATTAAGGTAAGGGTAGGGTTTGGGTTAGGGTTAGGTAAAGGTTTAGGGTTAGAGAAGGGTTAGGGTTAGGGTTAGGGTTAGGGTTAGAGAAGGGTTAGGGTTAGGTTTACGGTTAGGGTTAGGTTTAGGTTTAGGGTTAGGGTTAGGGTTAGGGTTAGGGTTAGGGTTAGGGTTAGGGTTAGGGTTAGGGTTAGGGTTAGGGTTAGGGTTAGGGTTAGGGTAGGGTTAGGGTTAGA